TTTTCAAGCACAAAACTTGAGAACTCTGACTCTTCACATCTGAGGCTCTGAGCTTATGCCAAATCTTGTTGCTTCTCTGTTTGTTATATTTCTAAAATCTACCCTTTCCCCCTTGTTCCCAATGCTTAAAATCCTGCTTCATGCCCTCATTCTTTCACCTGTAACATTACTCTTTTTAGACTCCTGCACTCTCGCCTCTCCTTTTTGCAACACATCCAACATTCTGCACCTAAAATTCTTTCCTGCCACTGTGAGGATGAAAGGTGTGTGACGCGATCATTCATTGACTTCCTGAATCTTTCCACATAAAATTCAACCCTCTCATCCTCACATCTAATGCTCTGCCTTTGAATTCTGCTAGGCATGGTGTCCCTAGCCTCTGTTTGCTAGAAGCTGGGAATGGGCGACAAGAAATGGATCACTTGATGATTACCTGTTCTGTTCATTCCCACTAGGGCACCTGGCATTGGCCACTGTCGGAAGACAGGATACTGGGCTAGATGGACCTTCGGTCTGACCCAATATGGTTTTTCTTATGTTCATTGTATTTCCCATCAGATTCCTCCATGCCACAATTTGCGCCGTCCTCTTTTGACATGTTGTTGTTCTTCTGTCTCTGCTTCCCGCCTTCATCTTCATTCACTTTTCTCTTTGCTCCAGGTGTCAAGTACTCAGTGTCCTCTCTCCTTAAAATTCCTATTTTATATGAGCACCCAAAGTGTGGTAGGCCCCTGTACACTTCTGCCATCTGAATCTCTACAGTTTGTCCTGCCTCTTTATCTAAATTTATCAGAACGGGTAAGATTTATAATAAAATACAACTCACATTATTTGTGTTTGTTAACTCCTATCCTTCCTCTTTACCCTTGCACTTATGTGAAGTTATGAAGCTAATAAATATTTAATAGTAAACTAGAAAGGGAAAAGGACCCTTCAGTAATGCATTGGTCTTTTGATTCCTATCCAAGAAAAGTGAGGAAATTGGTTCTCTGGGTCAAAAGATTTAATTCAAACATTTTTTAACCTTGATAATTAAGACTAAATGGCAAGAGTTTTACCGAAAGAAGTGAAGAGTGGTTATGGTTAATTTTTTCTCTTGGGAGCCAAGAAAGGAGCCTGTCGTTCTATTTAACTGTGTTTTGGAGCATGTAACTACAGCAGAATGGGAACTAATAAACACAAGAGTTTTAACAGGTAATGCATGAAATAAGTCATTTTGTAATCAGCTCCTTAAAATCAATGTGGCAGTAGCTTCCCTTGCAGAAGACAGCTATTTTGATGGAAGGAGACTTTTTTTTCCCTGAGAAATCAAATAAAGGATAGACACATACAGGCAGCTCTCAGGAGAAATCATGAAGCATCAGCAGCTTTGACTTGTTTTACCACAGCTATTATGGCATGACATTCAGAAAGGCAGCCAGCCTAACAGAGACATATTCTACAAAAGATGTTACCTGCTGCTGCTTTTGTATTGCGTGCATTCATAGGTGCTCTGAGCCATCTCCGGGAATGACGCTGCTTGGTGTTACCTTTAGATTGAGGCACAGGAAAGCTGATCAGCAGGAAATCGTTTACATTCTCAATGGGAATGTTTTGGTCTGGGATTTGTTAAACTGTTCATATAGACCCTAGATAAAATGGCAGTTGGCAGACCAAGAAAATATCCTACACATGGTTTAGCAGATGAGAAAGTTCAAACCCTTTCCAGAGCCAACGCATTCCTTTGCCAGGCTTGATTACCTAGAATTTACAGAAGATATTCTGGGTTTTTCTACTAGTACATCATGGCTTCAGATTCAGGAGTTTGAAGACCAGACTTTTGTTCAGATTGTCCATTAGCCTCAGACAGCAATTTCGTTTGACTACTTTTGAAGGCTTTACCCAGAACTCCAGATTCCATAGTAGAAGCTGTGAGCAAATGACACTCAGACAACAGATGAAATTGGTTCTAGAAGTAGTTATTCCAGTCTTCAATTTTGTATGAGCAAATTAAATCTGTAACAACAAAATATACGTTGAAACAAGCAGGTAGTATATCTGTAATATTTCAGGTCCATATCCGGAAGATAATGGGGAAGTCTGTACAATATTAGAATAAGTTCAATTATCAATCCATCTTTTTTTGTAGTCTGCTAGGACAGCTGTAAAAGGGGAAGATTCTAGTCCTTGAGAATTTAAGAATTGGATTGGACCTCTGGCATTGCTCAATCAACACTAATCCCAGAGAATGTCCTAATTTTGATTGCTCTACAGAATAATACATGAATATCTCAATCTGATATGATCGTTTCTTAAATTTATTAAAATCCTGATAGTTAATTCTCTTCCCTTCAAACTGTCTCCCTCTTCATGGGTTTTTATCAAGAACTTTGCTATCTTTGGCACAGCTGAGATTACATCCCTACCTGTGTCTGGACAACATTCTTTTCAGAGTATTCTGAGGGAAGAATTGACAGAGGTTTCCACTACCACATAATGCAAGTCATATACAGATACACCTCTACCCCGATATAACGCTGTCCTTGGGAGCCAAAAAATCTTACCATGTTATAGGTGAAACCGCATTATATTGAACTTGCTTTGATCTGCCGGAGCGCGCAGCCCCTACCCCCCCCCCCCGGAGCGCTGCTTTACCGCGTTATATTCGAATTCGTGTTATATCGGGTCGCGTTATATCGGGGTAGAGGTGTATATTATAAATTCTGAAAGGAGCATATTCATGCTTTTAGAAAAGATCCAGACTTTAGGTGATAGGGCATTAGTCTTTCCTCTGATATGTCTTTCCCAAGCTATCGTGATTCATGTAGAAATATTAGCATGCATACTTAAAGAAATCATACACTCCTTTGAACATTGTTTGGTGGACCATAAGAGACCATTATAGAGACTTTTGCTTAAAAATAAAATGCACAGTACTAGCAATAAAAAGATAAAGCTTTATCTTAGTTTTAGACATGTCAAAGGTGTACACTACTGACAAAGATATGAGAAAGATTAGACCACTGCTGTCAATTTTTCACAGAATGTCCCATCATTTTATTACAGCATGTTAATACTGCAAGTTCTTCTTGCTGAAAATGTGTTTAAAATAAAGGACACTTAAAGTTAGATTAGTTTTAAATTTAGGAAGGCCAGTCTTGCTCAGTTTTAGATAGGGTTTTTTTGCACAGTTTTTGTGACCGCTGCCTTTGCTTGTTCTGACAGCCAGACTGCGTTCCATATTCAGGGAAACTTACAGCTAAGGTGGCAGGTTCCCTTGGCAAAATAAATCTTGGTGGCTACATTTTTTTTATAATCCAAGAAGAGGCAGATTAAATCATTTTCAGGGTTTGGATTTGTTTCTGTGGTATCTCAGGAAAGAACAAAACAAAATTAACGAGTTTCTCTGCACCATTGGAAATGTGTATGGGGGGGGGGGGCATACTTGATTGATAACTTGATAAAGGACTGAGATCTGAGTCAAACTGCTTCTTGATGGACTGAATCAAGTATACATCTTTCACTCTCATGTTCTATTGATTCCAGATAATAAATGCTCTTAAATTTTCACTTTTTTAGCGCTTTCTATGAATATGAATTCTCTCTCTACCCCAGTGAGGCAAATAAAATATTTGCTCCCTTTTACAGATATTTTGGCTTTCCTGGTAGGTGCTAATGGTGACAGCACTGCAGCTCTTCCCTCTTGTTAAAATGAAAACGGTGGTGGAATTGTACAGCACTGTAAGGTCTCTTAGAGAAAAGTCCACTTGGACCATAAAATCTTAAACTTCAGATTCTGTTAAATGAGGCCAACTTTAATTCAGTGATAGCAGGATTTTCTGTTATCTTGAGGGAAAATGTCCTATTTATGTTCCTTACTATTTCCCTGAAGTAACTGAAGGACTTTTTTAGGTCAGTTTCTAGTCATGAACAATTAGACATTGTTTAGCAGACATCTGTCTTTCATGTGTTAACTAAGCAACATAGTAGAGCATCACCCTCTGGTTCTACAAAGAGACTGATATTCTCAATAAAGTCTTTGTCAGTACATATAACTTGTGAAAAACATCCTCCTTTAAACACATGAGTTGAACTTAAACCCTCATCTTAAACTTTTCCATTTCCGAATTCAGTCTAGGAGGAATTGTATGATTTTATTACCTCTGGTGTAAAATGCAACCTGCCTTTTTTCTTATCTTTCTGAAAAGTTTAAATAATTATTACTCAGTGTTTTTAAGCTTCTATTATAGAATTTTTTAAAATACCCCTCCATGGGGGGGGGGGGGGGGAAAAAAAAAAATGAATAAGGGGTGATTAAAGAAACAGACTTCAGTTCAGGTTTCTATGGGTAGTTTCCCCTATGCATGATTTAACAATTGTGGCAATATTCTAAGTCAAACGCTATCTTTCTTCCCAAACGTGAATCTTTAATTTATAATGTAACTTTACGGGTCCATTGAAGAACGCATTCTGGCTTTGGTCACTTTTGAAAAGTCCCAACACGCTTTAGATAATTGGTATTAGTGTTAAATCCTGTGACGTAGCATGTTTTATTATAGGTGTGGTAGAATCCTTTCATTTTATCAGTATGCTTACTTTTATGGGAAGGAAGCAAGAAAGCAACATTTAAATTTTACTTAATCTCTTATTCATATAATGGAAAAGCTCACTAGTTAGTGTGATGTTTAGGGAAGTGTCAATAGGAAAAACTTAAAAAGGGAAGCCAGAGGACCAACTGCTTAAAAGGAAAAAAGCACAACTGTTTACTTACTTTTTTGTGCTGAAATTAGTAAATTGACAACTTCTTTTCAAGTGGGAAAGAGCAAGAATATTGGAGAGCATTCAATGAGATGTGACAAATCAGCAGAAATTGGCTCTTTTGGCTCAGAATATAGAATATGTAATTCTGTTAATAAAAATAATTTTCATGAAGTTCTGCACAGTCCCATAAGCAGCATTATAGGTATCCAGTAGCTATATTTTTGGTTTTTTTCAACCAAGCTTCATTTTTTTCTTTGCAGGAGAAATTACTATGGAGGAAACTGGGCCAGTTTTAGCTTTTCAGGATTATTGTCCTGGATTAAGGAAAACCAGGTAAGAAACTAGAATGACTTTTTTCTTTCTCTCTTGTCAGGTTTCTAGTACAGTAACTCCTCACTTAGTCATCCTGGTTAATGTTGTTTCTGTTTCGATGTTACATTGCTGATCAATTAGGGAACATGCTCATTTAAAGTTGTGTAATGCTCCCTTCTAAGGTCTTGGCAGCCGCCTGCTTTGTCTACTGCTTGCAGGAAGAGCAGCCCCTTGCAGCTAGCTGCTGGGGGCTTGGAACCAGGGTGGACCGGCAGCCCCCTATCAACTCCCCCTATAAGCTCCCCGCTCCCCTAAATTCCCTGTGCAGCAGCTGCCTGCAGTTCAGCTGTGTCCCTCCCCCCACTGCCATGTGCTGCTCCTGCCGTCTGCCTTGGAGCTGCTCCCCGAGACTCCTGTTGCTTTGCTGGGGGTAGGGAAGGAAGATCTGGGCTAATGTCAGTGTGTCCCCCTGCTCCTGCACCCCACTTACCCCATCTTCCATAGAGCAGGGCTCAGGACAGAGGGAGCTTGCAGCAGCTTCGGTCTCAGCAAGCTGATGTAATTAACAAGGCAGTGTACTTAAGGGAAATGTGCATATCTCCCTCCATTCCTGCTGCCTTGCAGAGTGAGAGAGTTAACCCTTGAGGGCTCAGCTAATTGCTAGTTCATCATTTAGCAATAAGGGAAATACCCACCCTCTGACTCCTCCACCTCAACCAAGCTTCACAATCATCATCACTGTGTACCAGTATTAAATTTTGTTTAAAACTTATACACTGTGTGTGTGTGTGTGTGTGTGTGTCTATATATAGATAGATAGTCTTTTGTTTGGTGAAAAAAATTTCCCTGGGACCTAACCCCCTCACTTACATTAATTCTTATGGGGAAATTGGATTCGCTTAACATTGTTTCGCTTAAAGTCGCATTTTTCAGGAACAGAACTACAACATGAGCATTGACCTGCTAAACCCAGGGTTGTGAGTTCAATCCTTGAGGGGGCCATTTAGGGAACTGGGGTAAAAATCTGTCTGGGGATTGGTCCTGCTTTGAGCAGGGGGTTGGACTAGAAGACCTCCTGAGGTCCCTTCCAACCCTGATATTCTATGATTCTATGATTAAGTGAGGAGTTACTGTATTCTATTTTTTGTGAAAAAATACATACATAACAAATAACTTAGGAAGTGTCTAGTACTCTTTGGGTATTACATATTTAATAAATATTAAAGCCAGCAAAACTGAACTACCATGCATCTCATTTTTATACATGGACGAAACTGGAACATTTTATTTAAAATAGATAACTCCTAAACAGCAGTGCAAGTAGGGCGATCTGTTACACCACGCCATACCAGTAAGATATTTAAAGCTGATACGGTGTACCAGAAAGACACAAGAGGAGCAGAATATGGGACCGCTGGGTGGCCCAAAACTGGCAACTCCTCTGGCGCAGCTGTACTGCCCTCAGCCCTTCCACGCAGGGTCTCCTCCATCTGTACAGCAGCCCCGCTGGAGGACAGGGCTGGGAGGCGGGGCTGGGGGCAGTACAGCCGTGCCAGAGGAGCTGACGATGTTCTGCTCCTTTCCCCGCTGTGGTTCCTGGGAGAGCCCTGAACTGCAGGGCTCTCCCGGGGACTGCAGCGGGGAAAGGAGCAGAACATGGGGCCACCGGGGGCCCCACACTGGCAACTCCTCTGGTAGAGCCATCCAGCAGCCCCACATTCTGCTCCTTTCACCAATGCAGTTCCGAAGCTCTGGCGCAGTGGGAGGAGGACAGAGCCTTCCCCCCCCCCCAAGGTAAGGGGGGGTGGATCATGGGGAGGGGACGGGGAGAGCATGGGGGCCCCAGGCTGGGGGCGGGGAGGACTCTTGTGGAGGATCACGTGAGGAGGTCATGTGCCCCCCGTTAGCTGTCTTCCCCCCCCACACCCGCCCCCCATACCAGTAAGAAATGGATTCCACTTCCACCACTGCTCCTGAACTAAACTACATCTGGTAATCTCAGTATTATAATTGTTAATTATAATACGCATTGTCAAAAAAGGCATCTCTGAAGTATATCTTAAAATAAGATAGTACTGTTTTATATGAGTATAAATGAGACCATACAGCCACATAATAGGTATACTTTATTAAATGAGCTTTTATAGTCTTCACCCATCATGGATATATTCTGAATTCATTTTATCTGTTTGTAAGAAGTGTTCTGTTTCCATTTCACTGTCATTACTGGATAAAAATACTAATTTGCACTTCTATGGAACATTCCAACTGAGGATCTCAAAGCACTTTATGGATACTAATGAGTTATGCGTCACATCACTACAGTGAAGAAAAGTGTTATCAGTATTTTACAGAATATCAGAACTATTTTATATGCTTGCATAGCTTGAAACCGGACTATGTTAATGCTCACTATAAGACTTTTAGTGTGCTCCAACAGGGTCTGCACGGGCTAGTTAGTGTGCAACACGTTACCACGGATTAAAATTTTACACCCCTCTGATGCGGACAAAACCACCATGTAGACAAGCTGTGGCAGAGCTAAGAATACAATCCACATCTGCTTTTGTGGGATCATGTGGGAACATAGCTCTTTATGCTCATTCTGTATCCTGTGTGTGTATGTGAGAGATATATGCACACACACCTCTACCCTGAAATAACGTGACCCGATATAACACGAATTTGGATATAACGCGGTAAAGTAGTGCTCCATGGGGGCGGGGTTGCGCACTCCGGCCAATCAAATCAAGTTTGATATAATGCGGTTTCACCTATAACGCGGTAAGATTTTTTTTTGGCTCCCGAGGACAGCGTTATATCGGGGTAGAGGGGTGTGTGTGTGTGTGTGTGTGTGTGTGTGTGTGTGTGTGTGTGTGTG